GGTTCCTTTGGTCGCGAAGTACTTTGGCATGTTTGGAGTAGTTTATAGGGAAAATTTCCAGCGCCTTCTACACGTGAGATTAGGGTAGTTTAAGCATGTCAGCTAAATCTCTATGAAACTTCGAGTAGCGATAGTGCTCTAATATTTCGTTAGACTATTACTCACTATAGTCCTTGCGACTTCCATGACTGGACAACATAATTGTATACCGTATATTGTTGCTGACTCAGTGCTTCTATATAATCCGATTCTGGAGTATATTTATTGGCCGACTTTATAGAAGGACAGTAAACTTGCAAAATCAATCGTGGAGGACGTCTTAGGCACCGTCACCGTTATCAAGAAGCTGTTTCAGAGCATAGAAAAGCCTAGCATAGTGAGTAACAGAAAGAAAATGATTTTTTATCTGCATTTTTTTACTCCAGATCCGTAATATGTTCCTGTCCATGTCCGACTTGTTGAAAGACATGTACTCGCTTCTCTTCACGGAAGATGTGCGTTTTAAGAGTATTGCGGGTCTTGCGCTTGAAGCTTATCTTACTGTGAGTTCTTGTAATTGCTCTAGATTTCTGTCTTTTGCAAATATTTTCAGGTTCTCAATTTGGTAAAAGAAAAGTCTTCTGGTCCTTATGATGAAAGTATGCTCAACGAATGTGCACCACTCTTTACCCAATTGCTTGGAGGCATGCACGGAAAACGTGCCAAACTTCGGGCTGCAGCTGCGGAGCTATGGAACAATATATTTGCGAAGGCGGTATTCAACTATCCGACAGAACTAAGGTTCGTGATCGACTTCGCTTTGGTAACTAAAGCACAAAATGTTTGAAGGAAGATTCTCATCAGTCTTGTACAAAAACGAATAGTTTTCGCAGCCGGATTACCTAGGAAGTCGATAAGTAGCAGTGATATCAATGAGTATAGAGAAATCACCGCGAGTAATGTAAGGTTTGCTTCCGCGCTTAGCAAGTGCAAGTCTAATTTTTTCAGTCTAATTCATCACTCAATTCACAATCCAGTCAAAGCACTGTCAATGGTTGTGCAGCAGTAGATGAAGATCAT